CACACAAGTTTGTACACAAATGTTCACAGCAGCATATTTCATAAAAAGCCAAAAAGTGGAAACTACTCAAATGCCCATCAATCAATGAATAGATAAATATAAACAAAATGTGGTATGTACCCATACATGGAATATTATTCAGCCATAAAAAAGAATGAAGTACTGATACATGCTACAAGATGGATAAACCTTGAAAACGATAAGTGAAGTGAACAAAGCCAGATACCAAGGGTCATATAAAGAAAGTTCCAAAAAGCAAAACTTGAATTTTCAAACACTGACAACTATTTACATAGCATTTATATTGTATTAGGTATTATAAGTAATATAGATATGATTTAAAGTATACAAGAGGTTGTGTGTAGGTTATATGCAAATATTTTGCCATTTTATATGAGGGAATTGAGTATCCCTGGATTTGGGGATCCAAGAGGGATCCTGAAACCAATCCCCCACAGATACCAAAGGACGACTATATTGTTTGATTCCATTTATATGAAATGTACAGAACAGGTAAATCCATAAAGACAGAAGTAGATTACTTGTTGCCAGGAACTGGGGCAAAGAGGGAATGACTGCTAATGGGTACAAGGTCTATTTTGGGGGTGATGAACATGTTCTGAATAGTGGTGATGGTTACATAACTTTGTAAATACACTAAAAACCAATGAATTCCATACTTTAAAAGTGTGAATTTTTTGTTTTATGAACTAAACCTCAATTAAGCTGTTATTGTTAAAAAAAATTTAAAAGACGGAGATATATGCAACTGATTTCCAACAATGCCTCATCCACTCGAATATTTTTTATTTATGTAAATTCAATCCACATAAAAATCTGACTTGCCAAACTGTACAAAATAAAAAGCCAAAAGTGTGAGGGGCTTCCCTGGTGGCGCAGTGGTTGAGAGTCCGCCTGCCGATGCAGGGGACACGGGTTCGTGCCCCGGTCCGGGAAGATCCCACGTGCCGCGGAGCGGCTGGGGCTGGGCCCGTGAGCCATGGCCGCTGAGCCTGCGCGTCCGGAGCCTGTGCTCCGTAAGGGGAGAGGCCACAACAGTGAGAGGTCCGCGTTCCGCCAAAAAAAAAAAGAATAAAAAATAAAGGAAATTAGTTTTTTCATTACTAAAAAGTTCAATTCACTAGGCACCTGAAAAATAAATTTTATGTTCCTGACCAACCTCCACTTTAAAAATTCAAACTAATGACTCTTTTCAAAAATTTAATCTTAACCAAAATACCACCCTCCCAGAGAGCAAAGAATGAATGCTTACTGATCCAGATTTCTCAAGTGGTGAAATTACTGATGTAATTCTGTGAAAGTCCCTTTTACAAATGCAAGTAGCCTAAGTAAAAATGCTTAGTATTTCTGGAAAGTTAACAGATTAATTTTAGCTTCAATTATGCTAAAAAGGTTTCTGAAGCTTAAAAAAAAGTTTTTATGTAAACTAGTTTCTAAAAACCAGTCAATTTCAGGGGAAAAAAAATATTTTGATGAACTGGAGGAAGAACACAAGTTTCCACAAAGATGCAGTGGATAAATCAAGATGATTTACTGCTAGGAGACTATGTATCCATAAAACATCAGGCCTCTCACTCACACATACAACACAAGAGGAACGTACACACCTGTTCTCCAACTACATCAGCAACCACCCATGTGCTACATAATTACACGTAATTATCCTTGGGATACAAAAATACTATGGATGGGCTTGTTTGTGTTTCTTCCAACAGTGTTGACAGGTAGCAGTGAATCACACATTCTCCTGAGTCTCATCTGCCTCATGATCAATGACACATGCTGCCAACATCTGAGGTTAAGGATGCAAACTGAGACTACAGATTACTGTCTCCTGCCCATGATGCTAAATGTTACCTATGTACAAATATGGCATGACAACAGTGCCACTGGTGCCAAACTCAAACCAAAGTAACCGCCCCAAACTCAAATCTGCAGTAAACTACAGATCTGTAGTACTTATACCATTAACAAAATGTTGAGCATCCTCTACAGAAAGAGAACCATGCTGATAATAGATATAAACATACTGGCCAAAAAAAACTTTTTAGAGACAGCCATGGTTTCAAATATTTTGTCTCATTAAGTCATCAAAGCCCGGGCTTCCCTGGTGGCGCAGTGGTTAAGAATCCGCCTGCCAATGCAGGGGACACGGGTTCGAGCCCTGGTCCGGGAAGATCCCACATGCCACGGAGCAACTAAGCCTGTGTGCCACAACTACTGAGCCTGCGCTCTAGAGCCCGCGAGCCGCAACTACTAAGCCCGCGTGCCACAACTACTGAAGCCCACACGCCTATAGCCCGTGCTCCGCAACAAGAGAAGCCACCACAATGAGAAGCCCACGCACCGCAACAAAGAGTAGCCCCTGCTCACCACAACTAGAAAGCCTGGGCGCAGCAACGAAGACCCAACGCAGCCAAAAATAAATAAATAAAATAAATAAATTTTTTTTTAAAAACCCATCAAAGTCCAACTTTGAAATCAGCAACTCCAATACTCAGAGGAGTACAAACCTCATATTCTAGAACAACTCTAAAACCAAAATACTTTGTCAACGTATTCATATTTTCAGTGCTTAATATATGGTCTCCACAGATACATGGTTTAGGATTCATACCCACTCCTCAAAGGTCTTAAAAATCTAACTGGGAAGCCGAATAAAGACATAAAAAGATAAACTGAAATCCAGGCTAGCATATGCTAAGAAAAAAAAAAAGAAAAAGAAAACAGTCCCACACAGGAGAGGTATGAATAGATCCCTTGGGGTTGAACTAGTCAAAAAGGCTTCTCAAGAGACTGGGCCCAGAGTAAAGGGAGTATCCGTGAATACAAGCAGAAAAGAGTTTCAAACAGAAGGAAAGGCACAAAGAAAGGCCAAGAGGAGGGACTTCACAGGAACAACAAACAAGTTAGTTTGGCTGGAACTAAAGATTCACAAAGGGAAGAAATGAGTTAAGACTGAAGAATGGATCAGGGCCAGATTACAGAGAAACCTGAAAACCACACCAAGGAGTTTAAACCTTACTTTGCATGTAGCAAGGAGAGTTCCGGAACTTTTTATGTTGTGATGTGAGAAGGTGAGTGTTAAAATGTGCAAGATATTATTTACCCAAGGCATTAGCGGAGCACAAATAGTCCAGGTGAAACACATCACTGGGAGAAAACGTATTCAAAGCCCAGGTGCAAAAGCTTATTATTGGGGAAGGAGGGAAGTGAGCAGCAATGCTCAAATAATAACGCTGAACCAAGTTAAATAAAAAGCTACAGTGGTCTACTTTTGCAGCTCCCATTTATTTAAAGCCTCCATCTACTATAAAAGCGATATAAGTATAAAGCACATTGAAGAGCTCTCACTATATCAGTTACACACAGGAGGCAATTTACCTCAAATATCCTACATCTGGATCATGAGTTCCAAAACTATGCTAATCCTCTGACTTTAAATGCAATATGCCAAACCCTTATCAGCACACAGAGCTGGATCAAGGCCATAAGCTACCATGAATGAGTTCATCATACTAACCCAAGCACATTTCAAGAGTAAATAAATGGGTGTCTCAATGTTCTGAAGCATTAACAAAAGGTGTTGAAACATCAACAGAAATAAAAATCCCTCATGACATTCAAATAATATCCTCCCCAAAGATTAAAATGTGCCATTACTGTCCTCTCAGTCCCCGACAGCCTATAAAAACAATGTTATGAAACTTTAGTATAAGAAGGTGACTGCATATCATAAGATCCAGAAATCAAGGGGGAATCAGGATTCTAGATTTCTTTACAACTGCCTCATTTAATTAATAATATTAATAACCAGGAGGAGAGATCCAGCTTAATTTTTCACAAACCTAGTTTAATGACTTTCCTAAGACCCCTGGCACAAGCCAAGATCAATACTCCTTATGGTTTCCCCTGGCTTATGGTTTGAATACTGAGTCATCCACGTTTGATCAAAACATGGGTACCCTTGAGGTCGCACAAGTGATAAAGAAGTCAACTAAAAAGAGACTTTAGAAAAAACACTCATTATATAACGTTTCCATGAGGTAAAGATTTCTCTTCAACTGTACATTAAATTTATTGACAACAACATAACAGATCATACGGTGAGCAAACAGACCAAAATATTGGATAGAGAGGACGGCGTTTAACCTCATAGCCTACGGAGTTATGGAATCAATTGACTGAAATACCAAATTCTCAGCCAGAGTTTCAAAACACCAGTGTTATCTCAAAGATAATGGGCCGGTTCAAACTTCCAGGCTGAACCTAAACTGCTGGTCCCTTGTGCTTAACGCAAGTATTCATTACAGTCCTTTTGTCTGTGAAACGACCCACACCAAACCACAGCGGAGAAAAATAACAGAGAGTTGCACGGAACCATCGTTATCGCGAGCGAGAGAGCTAGACGATCTTGCCACGAGTTCCAGCTCCTCCTCCCCAGCCCACCCCCGTCGCCCCCCATCTTTCTAGGACAGAAAAGGCAACAACGGAAGGCCACCGCGGGAGGCGAAGAGGAAGCGGCCAAGGGACCGAAGTTTGGGGCCCAGTACCAACTTGTGGCGATGGACCCAAGTATTTAGGGCCTACCGCAGAGCGCGAGAGAAACCCCACTCCCCAGCCCGGAGGTGGCAGGAAAAGAAGTCGGGGGGAAGGGGGGTCATCTGGCGGAAGAGAGGTGGCAACGCAGGCGGCGCGTCCAGCCGCGGCTGATCCATGGTCGGTAAACAAGCCGAGCGGACCCACCCTCCCACAGCCCCGGGGCTTGTGCCCGCATCGGGAAAGCCCAAGATGGAAGCGCGGAGGAGCCAGACCTTGCCGCCTCCCCTCTCCTCGCCTGCGACGCCTACCCGGGGGTCGCTGGCGGACGGCCCGGGAGACCCAGCGGCCTGGGCGCCATCAGGGAGCGAGGGGCCCGGGCAGGCCGCGGCGGAGCCGCGAGGGGCCTGCAGCGGGGCGCCCTCCCGGGGCCCGGTTACCTGGCGGCGGCGGTGGCTCTTCCTCCAGCTCCTGCTCCTCCTCCCCGTCCGACGCTCGGCGCCCGGCGGCCGCGGCGGCGGCAGCGACTCCCCGAGCAGCCCGCGGCGACGAGCCGAGCCCGGCCCCTCTCCGCCTCCCTCCGCGCCGCCGCCCGCCCCGCTGCTGCCGCCTCCGCCCTCTCCCCTCAGTCAGGACATGGTCACCGCGGGCCCGCGCGCGACTCCCGCTGCCGGAGGCGGGGGCAGAGGGGCGGAGAGCAGGCACGGAGGCGGGGGGACACAGGGGGGAAGGGGGGAGAGAGGGGGGGGTGGCCTCGGGAGCAGCGGGCTCCTAATGGCGGCGGTGAGGGGCCCCGGAGCCAAAAAAACCCCACGGCAAGCAGCACAACGTCAAGGCCAGACCCCGCCGCTCGTCGCCGTGTCATTGGCCCCGAGGCCGCCAGCGGCGCAGCCAATGGTCGGCCGCCTCTTTCCGGGCGCAGAAGGCGGGCCACGGAAGGGGGACGTCACGCCGGCGCCGGGCCCCGATTGTGAGGCGGCGGCGCGCGCCGGCCCCCGGGTCCCGCCCCCTGTGCGGCGGCCGGTTGGCTGGGGCTGCGGGACTTCGGCGACGTGCGGGGCACGCCGGGAGGCGACGGCGCGGCGTGCGCGGGGCACGGGGACGCAGCCGGGGCGGCCGGGAGGACGTTCTTGTGGCTGCCCAGCTCCTAATGCACGGTCTCGGTTGCTCTTATAGCCGACTTCTAAGTCAACTCCCAAGTCTCACCAAGTGACAGATTCTGCATCACTTTTTCTTATACAGCTTCAAGCTCTTGATAAGACACCAGGGAAGATAAATGTTTAGGTTGAGGCAATTGCATTTTCATATATCTTTTTTTTACAATGTCTTTTTTTATTCCCGTCTTCGAGGCAGCTATCCATTTATATTTGTGAATGTGTAAATTTATAATGTATGTATTACCTAAGTACATGCATATATTCATGATGAAAAGCCATAGAGTTGTATGCCAATTATATCTCAATAAAATTAATTTTTAAAAAAGCCATGGATACTTTGCTTTTCGCTCTCTTTTACTACTTCCTAGCTCTAGTATTGGGTAAACCTAATTTTCTAATGGTTTGCTTTTACTGTAAATTGTAAATGTAAGGGAGAGATTATAACCATGGGGGGGGAAGAAAACTGCCGGGAGAATTACATGAGCCAAAGTTCCAAAGAGAATATGTTATATGGTGATGTTTCATATATTTCTTTTTTTAATGTAAATATAGCCAAGTAGTCTAAATCATTTACCCAATTACTAAAACCCCATGAGTATGTCATATTTTTCAGGCTGGAGAGCTTTGCTTTTCTCAATGAGACTTTGCCTTGCATTTTTCATACTTCAAATTTTATTTCAAGAATACGAATGACCGTAAAAACACAGAGAGTCTTTAAAAGTTGTAAACTTCTTAGCACTGTCAAAAAGCACTGAGGTGTCTGAAGTTTCGGACGCCTCAGCTTCAACAGAAAGAATGTATTATTCAGAGTTTAACTGGATTTTTAAAACTCGGATGGTGACTTCATTTAGTAAAACTATGCCTGGTATTCTCATAGCTTCACTATGGCCACTGAAGAGAAATACCTGATATAGCTTCCTCTCATCAACAACCTCTTTCCTAATCAGTGATATATTTTACCCTTGCAGCCATTCCTGTGATGTCGAGAGTTTTAATAACCACCACCTTCCCGGAGCAACATTATTTGCTCAAGGACTCATCAACAGAGTTTAAACTGCAACAGTCATTTACCTACAAAACTTAACACACATTCTCAAACATATAATTAACACAATTGTAGATAAAATTAAACCACGTTATTATGTAAGAACAAATGGTTCCACCAACATTTCACTTTGAAAATATTTTAAGAGCCTCTGAGAACCTCCAGCTTGCCCTTCCTGAAGCTCACCAGCAAGTTACCAAGAACCACAGAATCAGGTGTTTTTGTTTAGTTTGAGTTGTAATTCATTTTGTTAAGGAAAAGAGATTGTTTAAGTAAGCTTGTTAACTCTTCATGAAGTTTAGCAAACTGAAAATCCATGTGTCAAGGAATAATAAGCACACAGAGATGAGTAAGACACATTCTGTGTTTGTGGGAACTACAGCATAGGAAAGCAGACGAGACAAAAATAACCATAATGACAATAGGAGGTGGAATGTGCTGAGTAAATTCAAACGAAAACCATCTTGTAATTGAGAGGAAGAGCAAATCCAAAAGTGACTCTATGGTAAAGCTGAAAAGGCACTTGTTACCAAGCCAGTGGTTCTCAGCCCTGGCTACACATGAGGAGCTTTTCAAAATATACCTATCTGGGCCCTACCCAGACCTACTGAAACCATCCCCAGGAGGAGAGTTTGCATTGGCTAGGTTTTAAACACACTCCTCAGGTGATTGTAATGTGCAGCTAGATATTGACATTGTCCCAGGCCCGCAGTTTGCAGATGTGTGAACTAATGCCTAGAGATTTTAAGTGACTTACCAACAGTTTGCAGGTGTGGAAACTAATGCCTAGAGATTTTAAGTGACTTACCAAAAGCCAGACCATCTAGGTCTAAAATTAGAACACAAAGCTCTTGATTCCCCAGTCAAATCTCCTTCCCAATGCACCACATTTGAGTAAAAAGGATGTCAGCAAATGCAGCAGACAGCACTGTCACAAAGAAGGATCTAATTCGTGCTGCTTGGCACAGAGAATAAATTATTCTCCTTACATATATTTCTGAGAAATATTTCATTTGGGAAAAAAGTATCCACTGTTGCAAAAAAGAATGTTCTTTTTCTTCCAACCCTTTTACTAAAGTGTAGGGACATTATAGTTTTGTTGACAACTAGTTTGTTTGGAGTTTTATTTCAGGTGTTTTTCAAACTACCTAGAGAAGATAAAATCCCATTTTACTTTTCCTGCCTTGCTGTGAAGGTCTTGAACGCCAAACTGTGGCTCTGTACTTAATTCCTTCACTAGTAGAAAGCCATGGAATGGTTCTGAGCAGGCAAGAGCCAGTACTTATACCTTAACCTGGAATACCTGTGGGACAAACCAGGGTAGAACTAGAATCAGGGAAAGAGAAACCAATTAAGAGTCAAGAACCCAAAACCAAAGTAGCTGTGGGAATGGAAAGGAGGGGTCAGAAGTGAAATAGGGTGACCATAGAACTTCAGGGTTTTCCGGTGTCTGAATCTGGGGCAGATGAAAGAATTGAAAGTCAGAATCAAAGCACAGGAGAGGAACTAAATAAGAGGCGATGTTGACCGCTGGACGAGGTATGTTGAGATGCTGGGCTCAGGAGGAGATGTGCAGTAAGCAGGGGGAAATGCTAAAAATTTGATAGGCTGGACCTGGAGATAAACATCAGAGAGTTATCTAATGTAGAAGTTGCCACTGAAGCCACAGGAGTGGGATAGAAAAAGAGAAACTCCCAAAGGAAGAGAAAAGATGGGTCAGAAAGCCAGGAGATGAAAAGGTGTTCTGGAAGCCCAGGGGGTGGTAAGCCTCAAGAATATGGTAACAAACAGTGTCAGATTCCACAGACTTAGGAATTAGAACAGAGAAAAGGTCGCTGGATTTGACAAACAAGAGTCTTAGTGACCTTCCAGAGAACAGGTCTCAGTAGGATGGTGGAGACAGAAGCCAGATTCCGAAAGCTGAAGGCATGTGTGGGCTTTGAAGCAGTGATTACAGACCAGTCCAAGGCGTTTGGCAAGGAAGGGAAGGCAGGAGATATAAGAATAGACACAGGGAGTAATAACACGAATGAGGGAAAGGTTTTGTTTTCTTTTACACACTTTTTAAAATGAGCATATCTGAGCACTTTTATAAACAGAGGAGAGAGGATGGAGAGGGGAAAAAATAAAGGATTGAAATCCAGGAGGCAGGTAATCCAGAGCGGACTGATGCGTCTTAGCTAGCTAAGGGAATGGGGAGGGGGCGCTTTCTCTCCCAGAAACAGGAGAAAAGGAAGATGTGAAAAATAGAGTTGCAGAGAAATTCTGATGGGAGAACAGGTGATGGAGTGGACTTCATACCCTTTCTCCTCCTGGGGGAGTCAAGTGCGGGTCACCTGCTAAGGGCTGGGCTGGGAGCTGGAGGATAACAGAGGGACTTTGGGACAAAGGTTGTGGGGAAGCAAACCAAGAAGAGTGAAGAAAGAAAAGCAAAAGGAGTCACTTTTCCCAACATGGTTCAGCAGCCCAGAGTCAGGCCTGGAACAGGGGGGCCAGATGGCAGAGGCAACCTAGAGGCGGACATTTCCAAATCAGGGAAGTTAAAGGCACTTAGCTGAAGGAGATGACGACAGGTCCAGCTTTCCCAGGGACTGCTGGGGGAATCTGTGCTTTTATGAAGCAAGTCGTACAAAATTGGTGAGCTTCCCTCAAAAGAAAGGCTAGAAACTTCACTTGTTATGAGAACAAATTCTCAGCTGTATTGCAGAAAATGTCAGTTCTATAAACTACAAAATATCTTCCACTTACTGTACATGATTATACATGATTCCTCCGTGGAAAAACCTCTTTGCAGCAGAAAACGCAATATGATAATGTTGCAGGCTTCCCTGGTGGTGCAGTGGTTAAGAATCCACCTGCCAATGCAGGGGACACAGGTTCGAGGCCTGGTCCAGGAAGATCCCACATGCCACGGAGCAACTAAGCCCATGCGCCACAACTACTGAGCCCACATGCCTAGAGCCTGTGATCTGCAACAAGAGAAGCCACCGCACTGCAATGAAGAGTAGCCCCCGCTCGCTGCAACTAGAGAAAGCCCGCGCACAGCAATGAAGACCCATCACAGCCAAAAAAAAAAAAAAAAACGATAATGTTGCCTGATCCATTCTTGTGCATAAATGCCACTGTTTTGTGGAATATAGGATCCTCCTGTGACCCCCACTGAGGCCAACCCAACCACAAACCTGCCTGGGACAAAATCTCACGGAAGGGCAAAGTATGGGTGTTAAGGCATCAGACAGAATACAGCTTGCTTGACTTACCCAAGTCCTGGTCTGTTCTAGGACAGTCTTGCCTGGATGGGTAAGAATTTATGCTCATAGTAACAAGATCATATAGATTAAGACATTGTCACAAAACTTCAACAAGATATCCCCATAAAGTAGACTTGCTGAGTTATGAGAGAATTGTTGAAATTCTACTGAGTCTTTTTAAGAAGTTTGGAGACAACAACTATCTGAAATAACCTCATCTGTGTTATTCTCTGGACCCAGACAAGTTTGTAAGAGGCAACAATATGAGGTGGAAACGACGCGGACTTTGGAGTCAAACAGACCTGAGTTTAAATTCTGCTCTGCC